AAGAGGAATGTTTTTGCAATGACCTCATGTACAGGTGGATGTACTGAGGGAGCAACACAAGATTCTACACGTGTAGATAAACAACAAGGATTCATGGCAGGCTTGGGGGGGGGGGGGTCAGACTTTGTTTTGCTGACTTTATGGTTGCAAATTAGTTTAATGATTCTGAATTATCATATTATAAATTGCACAAGGGTGTTAAAAGAAACCTTAAAAACCAACCAGTTAATGTTAAGATCCTGTTTGACACCAGACTGTTTGCTGCTTGTCAATCCTGTTTAGTCTATAAAAGCATAAAAATATTGGCTAATAAATTTTTCCATTTTTTATTTTAACATATTTAAAAAGCTCTTGAAGTTGTTGAAAACGAAGGCAAACCATCCAATCATAATTAACCTTATGATAACTTGTGTAAATGATGAATAATGTACACTACCCCTTTTTAAACTAAAGATAAGCTTTTGTTTTTGTTGACATAATTTGGTTTATTGTGCATCATGTGAGTTTTGTATTCTACTTCCACGTACAATGTGGAGACTCAGGTTTGTCAGCAGGTTGTCTCTTTTTGGATGTGATTATACTTGCCAATGATTTGCTTCCTTCCTCATGTTAAGAAGGGGAAAAAAAGCTTCCTTKGTGAATATAACCTTAGAGTTTGTTCCATTTTGGCAGCCACTTTCCTATTGAGGCTCTCTCAGGTTTCCTCATGCATTGATTCATTGTTACCGGACATTAGAGCCTTATCAGCAGAAGGCAGCTTACTGTATGGCTGAAGGTTTCTGGAACMTTTCCACATGGCACAAATGAGTGGCAGTAATAAGGCCACGGACTGTTGACAGGCCGATCTGGCAGCCTTTTCAAAGAGTTGCTGTTTGAAGATGGGTGCTGGTGTGTTTCATTTTTCACCGCTCGGGTTTCTCAAGAAGTTAAAGATTGGACTATTTAACAGTCCGTTGAAGGATGGTTGAGAAATAAAAGACATTTATGTGATTCCACAGTTTGGTTAATGCTGAAGATCTTGTCCCATACATTGTATTATTGTACTTCTAAAACATGCATTCCTTTATCGGAATAAATCTTGTTTACCATTGTATGTTAGGAAAATAATAATGGAGTCAATCATACCATCAGTTTGGGATTATGGTGTTATAATTTATTTTAAAAAATAAAACGCTTAAGCCGCTAGATTCAATCTATCACTCTGCTGTAAAATTTATTACTGGCAATCCTGACAGCACTCATCATTGCAGGATAAATGAATAAGTTGATTGGTCCAAACACACAGGCTTACTTTTATATATAAATCACTTTCTGACCATATGCCAGTTTATATCTCTGCTTTTATCTTAATAAATTTAAGTACTTTACTTATTTCTAGTAACTAGATTACCCAAGAGTTTTTAGGGATATGGGATAATCTTCTTTTAGTTCCACAGCGACCTGAAACTTATTACAGGAGTCTTTATGGCTTCATTCGCTGGGTTCACTTAATGATTTAAAATCTCTTGTCTCTACACACCTCCATAGTATTATTATTGTTAATGTTTTAATTGTAAATTGCTCTGCTGCTTTGGAAATGAAGGGCACCCTCAGTGTATTCCTGAGTGTAAATAAAGGTTTTAAAAGAGATTTTTTTTACTACACTGAYCTTGAAGTGTGTACCCACAAGTCTAATTACAGTGGTTTGCAAAAGTATTCATACCCCTTGAACTTTTCCATATTTTGTCACATTACAACCACAAACATAAATATATTTCACTGGAATTTAATGTGAAAGACCAACACAAAGTGGTATACAATTGTGAAGTGGAAGCAAAATTTTACATGAATCAAAACATTTTTTACAAATAAAAAACTGAAAAGTGCGACGTGCAAAAGTATTCAGCCCCCTTTTCCCTGAGTGCAACCAATTGCATTCAGAAGTTGCCTGATGACTGCTAATGACTCAAAAGGGTCCACCTGTGTGTAATCTAATCTCAGTACAAATACAGCTGCTCCGTGATGGCCTCAGATGTTGGTTAAGAGAATATTGGGGAGCAAACAGCATCATGAAGTCCAAAGAACACACCAGACAGGTTAGGAATATGGTTTTGGAGAAGTTTAAAGCAGGCTTAGGTTATAAAAAGATTTCCCAAGCTTTGAACATCTCACGGAGCACTGTTCAATCCATCATCCGGAAATGGAAAGAGTATGGCACCACAGTAAACCTGCCAAGACAAGGCCGTCCACCTAAACTTACAGGCCGAACAAGGAGATCACTGATCAGAGAGGCAGCCAAGAGGCCCATGGTGACTCTGGATGAAATGCAGAGAGCCACAGCTCAGGTGGGGGAAACTGTCCACAGGACAACAATTAGTCGTGCACTACACAAATGTGGTCTTTATGGAAGAGTGGCAAGGAGAAAGCCATTGTTAAAAGAAAACCATAAGAAGTCCCGTTTGCAGTTTGCCAGAAGCCATGTTGAGGACACAGCAAACATGTGGAAGAAGGTGCTTTGGTCAGACGAGACCAAAATTGAACTTTTTGGCCACAATGCAAAACGCTATGTGTGGCGGAGAAAGAACACTGCACATCACTCTGAAAACACCATCCCCACTGTCAAATATGGTGGTGGCAGCATCATGCTCTGGGGGTGCTTCTCTTCAGCAGGGACCGGGAAGTTGGTCAAAGTTGATGGGAAGATGGATGGAGCCAAATACAGGGCAATCTTGGAAGAAAACCTGTTGGAGTCAGCAAAAGATTTGAGACTGGGGCGGAGGTTCACCTTCCAGCAGGACAACGACCCTAAACATAAAGCCTAAGCTACAATGGAGTGGTTTAAAAAAAAGAATATTCATGTGTTAGAATGGCCCAGTCAAAGTCCAGACCTAAACCCAATTGAGAATTTGTGGCAAGATCTCAAAACTGCTGTTCACAAACGCTCTCCATCCAATCTGACAGAGCTTGAGCTGTTTTGCAAGGAGGAATGGGCAAGAATTGCAGTCACTAGYTGTGCAAAGCTGGTGGAGACATACCCTAAAAGACTTGCAGCTGTAATTGCAGCAAAAGGTGGCTCCACAAAGTATTGACTCAGGGGGGCTGAATAATTTTGCACATCGCACTTTTCAGTTTTTTATTTGTAAAAAATGTTTTGATTCATGTAAAATTTTGCTTCCACTTCACAATTGTATACCACTTTGRGTTGGTCTTTCACATTAAATTCCAGTGAAATATATTTATGTTTGTGGTTGTAATGTGACAAAATATGGAAAAGTTCAAGGGGTATGAATACTTTTGCAAACCACTGTATATTCCCATCACTGTACTTTGTGTTTACTGCAGTGAAACATTAGCTAACATGAGTCAACTATAAGTTGTAATCATACATGTTCAAGTAACTTTGTAGCAGCTGAAGGATGTTTCTTTACTACTTCTAAATCAAACTTTTCATTTGTTCATAATAGTGTGTTTAATGTGAGTTTGGGATCACCGAACCACCAGTCAGGGTTGGGCAAAATTGTATTGTGTGTAATTAATCACCAGTTCAACTGTCAACAGTTAATGTTTGCCAATGGTAGAAGGTAGCATTGAGCAGCTAATGCTAACCCTATGAACTTGTTTGATTGGCTGTTCAGTGGGTGCCCAAAACGAATCATAAGCTCAAAGGAGACTGCGGTTTTYATCACCTGAAACAGCGACATAAACCAGAGTACGAGGAAGGCCAGACAATCCGGGCCAAGGCCACAACGTCGGCTACATGTAATAATAATAATCATATTAATCATTATTGGCTAACTGCCACGATTAATCGTGATCATTTTTTATGTCAGTGTCGCCCAACCCTACTACCTGTTTGGCTTGAACGTGAAGCAATGTCAGCACCCTGAAACGGAGCAGAAAATGTCCACCATTATTCAGTGTTGTATTTTTTCCAGCTCATCAACTGTTTAAAACCAAGTTTCCTATAAATGCAAAGTCAAAAAATAAAGTTATATGTAGAGACAGAGGCTTATTTCTTGATTTGTCCTTTAAAACACAGAACTTGACAGTTTTATTCCATGTAAAATCTMTAAGTTCCACTGGCGGATAAGGTGATACCAAGCTAGATGAACACTGACAATCTTAATCCTTGGTTCATTTATGGAATCCTCCATCTGCAGAAATATGGTGCATTTGATGTCTTGCACAGGTGTCTGGAAAAAAAAGCTGCAGCTTTTAAATTTCTTGCAAAACATACAGTAGGTATTTTTAAAGACTCCTACAGCTGCGTTTCTAGGTCATAAGAGTGCATATAAACCAACTAAAGTGTGGTCCAGATGAGACGTCTTCTCAACCAAAACACAAAAGATTTTTTTTCAGATTTTGATGTATATAAGTGTAGAATCATTCGACGTGCTATTCCAGTTTTATAGCCAAGGATTTTGCAAGAGCGTCCAAGAGGATGTTGTTTTCTGAGACGGAGTAAAGTTTGGCTGTGGGAAACAAAGATGTTTACGAGTTAAAAATTTTCAAAAGAAAGTCGAAGTAATTGCTTGTTTGTTGGTTAAGCTGAGACTGTGAGAACATAAAGTAACCTGTAGTCAGTCTGTGGTAGGAGGATTTATTCGTACACAATAGCCTGACTTCATAAACACAGATTKCTTTCAGTCTTGCCTAAGTTTCCGCTTCACTAAACAACCTCAGGGATCCTGACTCATCATCAGCGATTACTCCTTTTCTCCTTCCCAATTTTTTTTGTCAGACTTTTCTCATTTTCTTCCCTCCGATTTGCATGTCCTGCTCTTGTTTAATGCTGTTTTGTTTATCTCCATGATGGTGCAATCCTGGTCTGACTCACCCCTTAGACTCCATCTGTAACCAAGCTAGTTGCCTCTTTCCTCCATGGTCTTAAACCCTTTTTTCTCTCTTTCTCGCTCAGAAAGTAGTTTTGAGTTTCATTAAGTCATTTGTCTTGTTGTAAAACCAAACTACGAGATCCTGAATTGAGAGCTGACAACTTTGTTCTCTTTTTGTCAATCCAGACAGCATCATCGAGGACAAAGAGTTTGAGGTGATGATGCAGATCGACTGTGAGGTAACAGACACCAGGATCCTCCATATCAGATCCTCCAGCATCCCACCTTTACTTCGGGTCAACCAAACAAACACGTTTTACCAGCGCTCCACGCCTGATAACAAGGCTGCGCCTCCCGTCGGTGTCCTAATGGGGTCTTCGTAAGGTCCCCATCAAATCCTGCCTTCTTCTTGATGCCTCCTCAACAAAACTCATGAAGGAAAACAAGATTAGTATTGAGTTTGCTCATTTTTGGACAAAACAATTCTTGTAAATCTGCTGTAATCCCACAGATTGGATCTGTTTATGATGGGAATGAATGTGCTTTGCAGAGCTGTAGTTACTTCTCATCAAGGTCAGATAGGGTCAGAGGAAAAGCAGCCTTTTTTTGTCCTGTACCCTGGACATTAGACTAACAACAATTATACCAGTTAGTTTTAAGGATTGCACCAATCTATGWATGGTTCATTCTTTGGTTTTTTTTTTTTGTTTCAAACAAAATTGCGAATATGAAAATCGTGTTTTTTCATTTTTAAAATCTAAACTTATTAAAAATCCASAGTGTTTGAATTTTGCTTCAGATATCTAAATCTAAAATAAAAATTGCAGTTGTTTTAATATGTAGCAACACAGGAAATGACTTAAACCCCCAAATAAGAAGAGTTTATAGTGYCTGGAAGACTGTTAAAAAACGGAAATCATTCCTAAACATGTTAACAGTGGCTGCACTCGAAACCCCGTTCTGCATAACTTGGAAGATTAAAGTAATTTTGTCGACTTCCTCTAAAAAAACAAACAAATGTATCCATGGTGAGAAGTGAAATTGTAATGTTCCAGAAGTTCAGGCCATGATTTCCAGCACTGCCAGAAGGTCCAAAATAGGACACTTTGCTTTA